CACTCGCGGGCGCTGGCGGCGGAGGAGATCCGGCAGATGCTGGAGGGCAAGCCGCTGGCCGACAAGATGCGTCCCGACACCCTGCAGGACTACATCGGGCAGAGCAGGGCGGTGGGGCAGGAGACCCTGCTGCGCTCGCTCCTGGAGACCAACGAGATCCCCTCGCTCATCCTGTGGGGGCCGCCGGGCTGCGGCAAGGTGAGTGCCGCCTCCGCCCGAGGGCCCCCGCGGATTGCTTTGGGCGAGTGGACGGAGCTAACGGCCCAGAGCCGCGCATGCTTCCCAGAGGCGACGGGATGGCGGCTGGTGAAGAATCCCGCTAGGCTTGCGGGCACGTGTGAGCCTGAGCCCGGGCACTGCCTGGTCCGCAGGTGGCGTCTGTGATGGGCGTGAAAAAGGCACACCCCCTCCTTTTCTTGAGTCACACTTGCTGGTGGTTTCCCGAGAGATGTCTTTGAGTTCATAAGTTTATAAGAAGACAAGAACTCTTCAGTTGAATCTACTGTTGTGTTACGTTGGGTCCCTACCCCAGCTCCGAGACTTTTACTGACCCCTTTGTACACATGTGGGCTCAGCTTTGGGGGAAAAAAAAAATGTAGCGCTATTTTTCTATTATGCTTCATTCCTCTCCCACTGGAACAGACTGATTTTTATTTTTTTTCTGGAGAATCTATTTCACAGGACTACTATGAAAACATTTTGGGGGGCAAGTCATTTTGAGCTAGCGTTTTCATAACTTTCTCCTACTGCCTTTTCCTTTAGAGAAGAAACATCAGTGCATTTGGGTGTCCGTTTCTATATGCCTTCCTTAGGGATTAACCACAAGTTCAGAAGAGGACAGTGGGGATGTTGTGAGTCAGGAAAATGTGTTGTTAGAGCACTGGAGAAAAAGTGGAGAAGTTAAGCCTGAAAAAAGAGAAAGCTTAGAGGTACTTAAATATAAGATACTCTTTCATCCCTAGGAAGAGGGACGAGAGTGACCACCAGTGAGTGAGAGGAAGGATTCAAGATCAGCGTGAAGAGCTCTTGCAGTTTTCAGGTTCTGATTCCTTCCTGCATGAGATCTTTTGTGATGTTTTTCTTTTCGACCTTCATCTCCTGCAACTTAAGCACAGTCCCTTAGTTCAGGTCCCGGAAGGCACATCATTCTTTCTTTGCCTCTTATTTACACGTACGCATTCCCTTTGACCAGGAATAAGTCAGGTCTATACCAAATAACATTCTGTGTGGGTGTTGGAATTGCTGACATCTAGCCCCAACGATTCCGTTTCAGCCCCATGTAGGGGATTGAGCAGTAGTGGTCTAAGTAGTGGTGCAAGAAGTCTTTACAAAAATCAGGAGTGTGGATAAGCAGCTTTTGATGGTCCCTAGGGAGGTAAATGGCTGAGCATAGAGAAGATGCTGGTCCCTCGGGAGATTTAGTGAGGTGCTCAGTCAGGTGGTTGGTTGCGAACCCAGGCATGTGACATGGGAGCCTGATCCCAAAGGGTGGCCAGGTTGGGATTTGGTGGAGAAGCATAATGGTGCCATACAGCTTTTGGAAGATAAAGTCCCGCCTTTTCATTCAGAAGCAAAATTGACCCTCTCATTAAGAAGACTTCCTTTTTTCGTTGTTCACATGCTTAACAATAATATAACATTAAAACATAGGCATATTTATTGGGTGTATGTCAAGTGCTTTTCTTGGCTCTCTATTTTCTGGTTACTGCTAGTATGATCATAGTATTAGTATTCATCTTTTTGTAGAATAGACTTTCAGAAGTGGCCTGCAGCCCTCTCAAATGCTAGGTCAGTGTCTTTGGTCTCTCAGCTCAAAGTCTCCCTGGGACCAGCAGTTAGCGTAATGGCTATGTCGCTGGACTCCCACGTAGTCAACCACGGTTCGAGTCCCAGACCTGGCAGGCTTAAACTCACGCCGGGTGTGTGTGCATGCATGCCCACGATCCCGAGAGGAGAATGGAGGAGAAGGGATTGCGGCATGGCCATCCCCCCTGGGGGGTGATTTCTCGCTTTCTATCTCTCTGTCTGTCTCTGTCTGTCTGGTGAGCACACGCGCCCTATAGCAAAAACCTCTCCAAAAAAAAAAAAGGCTCCCTCACTCTCCTCTCAGCTGCTCAGCCAGGCTTCCAGTCTGTGGTTCTATGATCAGTTCTGTACTCATGTTGTTCAGCAATGCTTTCTTGGCTGAAAGAGGGAGACTTTTCTCTTTGGTGAAAGGTCACAGCTGTCACCCAGGCTCTGCTAAATCAAGACAGCCAGTCTTTACTGGGATTCCAAAGATCTTAAGGAGTCCCCGATAAGGAATCAAAAGGGGTTAGAGACAAAAGGTCTCTAAGTAGCCTAAGGTTTAGCTACTTTCCTGTTTCATTTATATTTTTGTAAATTGTAATGTTGGAGATCTTAAAGTGTTTTAAATATATTATACTATTTTAGATTGTATCTGTGCTGCCAAGCATCCTTCAGAAAGTTGCTTGGTAAATAATGGTAATGCTGCTTGTGGTGGTACCCATGAGCTCCACTCTCTGTGTCTGATCAGCTTTTCAAACTGTGTCATCTTTTCTAGACCACGCTGGCTCACATCATAGCCAACAACAGCAAGAAACATAGCATAAGGTTTGTGACACTGTCTGCAACAAATGCCAAGACAAATGATGTGAGAGATGTCATAAAACAAGCTCAAAATGAAAAGAGCTTTTTCAAAAGGAAAACCATCCTTTTTATTGATGAGATTCATCGGTTCAATAAGTCTCAGCAGGTATATTAATTTTCTTCTACCTTTTGGTTATTGTGAACGTAAAATAGCAAAAAAGTATTTGGGATCACTTTAAAAACTATAAAGCACTAAACAAATGTTTGAGACTGTCTTTATCATCATTCATTTTGTTTGCAAAGTAGCATAGGTTTGTCACCCTGTTTGAAGCTCGTTTCCCCATGCTTTTGGTTAGTGGTTTTTGTTGACAAGAAAATGCTTTCTCTGATGAGTGAAATGGTTGATGTATTCCTGAACTATACATATCAGAAAAGTAGCTTTGAGTAAAGTTTCCAATATTAAGAATGTTTAAGCTAAATATTTGGAGTCATTGTGAGCAGTTTGATTTTAAAATAATTTATTTTAATATTATTGATTTCTCCCCATAGAGTATTTTATTTTCAAAATTAAAGAGTCTATTTTCTGTGACTTTAGGCTCTCATCAAGATAAATGTTACAAGATCTGGTCATTATTTACTTAGATGGGTTTCTGGATACAGTTTTTTTTTTTTTTTTTTTTTAGACATTCTTACAACTTACATGTTATCTCTGTACATCTTTACAGTGCACATTATTTTTCCCAGCACAGATACAATGTAGTAAAGTCAAAGATAATACCATATCATCAGCGGGTAACCTGGACACAATTTATAAACAAAGCCACTTTTAGATTTTTTTCCCTAGAGATCAAAGGTTCTTTCCAGGCATATTCTTTTTTAATATATTTTGTTGCAGCAGTTTAAACCTAGAAAGAAGTATTTCACAAAGTCCTATTAAGTTTTTTTTTTTTTCCTCTCCCCCCATATGTATCTTTTTGAATAGTCATGCTCTTTAGAGTTCTGGCTGCATGTTAACATTCTAGGCTTCTATAGGACCATTGACTCCTTAGTATCTCTTTCTCGGAAGACAAGCATCTGGTGGTTATACATTTCACCAAGTTTGTTAGGAAGAGTAACAATCAGATTGAGTACTTGACATGGAAGAGGGAGGATTTTATTTTATTGTTTTTGTATCTTCTTTCTCTTCTGTTAATAAACAGCTGCTACACATAAGCTAGTTCAGTCTTGGGTAAAAGATACTTTTTAAGAAGTCACTTGTGTCAGATCACTTGTGTCAAAATTAAATTAGAATTCAGAGAGGCTTACACGCCACCATTCCAGAAGATAGAAGACATGTTACAGATTGGAAAGCAAGAGTTGTACTCTCCAAAATGTTGCATCCATAGTCAGTGACTATAAAGCTACTATTTCTGAACTCTAAAGATAGAAAGCAGGAAGAGGAAGGAATGGATAGTCAACTTACATGGGTTTTTGCAGATGGCCGTTAACTGGAATCACTTTCTTTTGTTTTCCTCCCATGATTAGGACACTTTCCTTCCGCACGTGGAATGTGGGACGATCACTCTGATCGGGGCAACCACTGAAAACCCTTCCTTCCAGGTCAACGCTGCTCTTCTGAGCCGCTGTCGGGTGATTGTTCTTGAGAAGCTACCAGTAGAGGCAATGGTGACTATTTTAATGCGAGCGATCAACTCGCTGGGGATCCACGTCCTAGACTCTAGCCGGCCCACTGACCCTTTGAGCCACAGCAGCAACAGCAGCTCTGAGTAAGTTGACTGTGTGCGCGGTCCTGGTGGCACGGGCCTCCGGGAGAATCTCTTGGCAGAGGGCCAGAAAAGGCCAGGCATCAGTAAGGAGAGGGCGGGGACAGGGAAGAAATGTGGATCTGCCAGTAATGAAAGAGAGTAGGGAAGGCTCAGTTATACCAACAGGGATTTCTGTGGACACTTGTTGTTTTCTTGCCCCTTATAGCTATGTCTGTAATTCTTCAAGCTTTAACATTATTATTTTCATCTTAAGTGTTTGTTTTATGCCTGGGACTGTCATCCTAGTACACGTTTTTAAAAGCTTGCAAGACTCTAGGAAGCCTTATGGATTATTTTAAAGGCTTTGTCTCCCTTACTGAATAGAATAAACAGATAAATAGAAAGGGGTCTTCAAAAAGTTTATGGAAAATATGTTCATGAAGAAACAATGCATGGGTTTTGAATTTTTTTTGCACCAAAATCAACTCAATCTTGAATTCCATTTTCTCATGGACTTTTTGAAGTACTGTTACAGACTTCTTAGACTTTATGTACAAATATTCTGGGATTTGTTCTCAGATTCTAGTGTCTTGTTTTTTTCCATGCAATTTACTGTTCCTTTAGAAGTATTAAGTAGAAATCAGTGTAACTAGCTGTAAAAGTATGCACACTTGGTCAAACTCAGTTCCATGGAAGTAAAGTAATTTTAGCTTACAAGGCATTTTCAAGGCTGTCCCTGCCCTTCAGGTGGTCTGTTTCAGCATTGTGGGTGTGTAATTTGACGGCTCGGAGTAAGAGATCCCCTTTACTTCTATTAGGACATATTCTCTGATGTTGCTGGCGCATGTCTTGGTTGAACATAATCTGGCCCGAGGAAGGGCCTTGGCTCACCTCCTCCTCCTGTGGGCCCACAGCTGCTTGCGCCTGCCCAGAGGCCGAGTTCTGGAGCCACTGTTCTGTGAGGATTAAAGTACAAGGCATAGTTTTAGGCTCGGGGTTTAAGTTTCAGCAGCTCTCCCTGTGTTTCTGGCCTCCCGTTTGCCTGTCTCAGATGTGGGAAGAATTCCCTACCTCATGAAAACCTTGAAACAGTTGGCAGTGGCCCCCTGGGCAGATGCAGATGCTCATTCTAGAGTGTGGCAGTGACGGGCGAGCCACCAGAACAAAGTGTGGCCCTGCTGGGCTCAGTCGGGTACTGGTACCTGGGAGCCCTTCATCTGCTGGGGTCTCGCAGAGGCTCCTGCCAGCTCCTTGTGTCTAGAATAGCTTCCCTGCGACTACATTCTCATCCAGATCCAGTTAACCATGTGGTAAAGGCAAGGTCAAAGAAAAAGGGAGAGGTTTTCTAACATAGTCTCAAGAGCCCCCACACACGCGCGCGTGTACTGGTTATTGCATCTACAATTTTATTACCTGTGCTTTTATTTCTCTAGGGGAATTTTTGTTTCTTTTCTGTTGTCACTTCATGGGATCAAGTTGCTCAGATACCCTGAGGATTTCTCTCCTGTCTAGTCACTGCCGTACTGAATTTTACGTGAGATGAGAAGGGTGGAAGAATACTGTGCTCATCCTCACGGGAAGGAGTTCTCCATTTTAAAAGGTCCCCAGGTGGTTTCAGGTGTGATGAAGTTATAAGGACTGAATAGAAGAATCGAGATTCCTTTTAGTTACCGAAACTGAGAGCCTGATCCAGAAATGAACTGGTGATTCTTTAGTCTGCTGAAATTACATCTCAGTCACAGAAAACGTCCCACACCCAGTAGGTGGTTTGCTTTTTCCACTATGGCTCATTTGGAATTGGCCTTATTTATGACAGCTGTCTGTCTTCTTGTTTCCTCTTTCCTCCCGTCTTCCTGGGAGGACTGCGAGGACAGTAGTTGTCTTTCTTGTTCATGTCTCAGGAGTGGCTCCCTAGCTTGGTAGTGGCCAGTCAGTGAATACATTTTAGATTTCAGTATGCTTTAATATTTTTGTTTCATGGTATAGTCCAAAAAGAGATTTAAGGGACAATTGCCCAGGTGTCAAGAGCCTTTTTCTCAAATTCTCTTACCCTTTTCCTCAGCAACAAGCAGAGTGAAATGAAAGAATATTAAGTGTAGATTCATTGATTGGGCTGCTTATTAGCAATTCTGACAAAAAGTTAAGTTTGGAGATGTCACAAGCTACAGAAGGAACTCACATCATAAGCAATTCCCTGGTATAAGAACCTGCCACCTAAGCTGCCATAGACGATTTAGACTAGATGATGATGTCTTTGAATTAGTTTAGGTGAAATTTTACTTTCCAATACCTATTGACTAATAGCAGCAGTGTATCCCTTTTGGGCACATGAGTCATATTTGACTATACGAACTCTCTCAGAAGCAAAGACTTAACTCCAAATATTGGGTCGTCAGCAAAGTCACGATGTATTTTTGCATAGAAGAACAGAGAAGTACGTCATGAGTTTTGAAATGACCTAACAATTACTTTCTCTCTCTGGGAAGCTGTGAGTGTACGTTTGTATCCTATGTCACGTTTTGGAGCTGTAGGTAGCAGCTAGAGACATGCGAGGCTGTTGAAGGCTGCGTGTGAGAGGAGGCGAGCAGGCTACTGGATTTGGAGTTCATGGTGCTCGTACGTACACTGCGTGAGAATTCAGTTCCTCAAGTACTCTACCTGACAAATTGTGAATTTTTGCACAGTATACACGTATACAGGATAAGTTCCCAGAAGAGTGAGATGAAGTTTTTGTTTTTTTTTTAATCTTCTCCTTTCCTTCCCTTCCCTTTCCATCTCCCTTCCCTCTCCTCTCTCTCCCTCCACCCCTCGTCTCCCTCTCCCGCTTCAGGTACATGTACTTGTCAGAGAGAGAAAAAGCATCCTACAACGGGGCATGGTCACACCTCAGTCCCTTCTCCACTTCTCCATCCTGTCAGGATTTGGGGTATCCACGTGCCCAGCACGTTTTTGAAGCCGCCAGGGCCAGGATTCAAACTGGTTGGCCGTGTGGGGGCTGGCTCCTTTAACTACTGAGCTATGAGGTCGGCCCCTTTGTAGGTTTATTCAGTAGTAGGTGGAGGTCCTGCACGCTAGGCACTGACTGGAAGTTAAAAAGTCTGTTCTGTGCCTTTAGAGAGCACGCGATATGTATGCTAAAGGCTGGATGGGCTTCCTGCGCGTCTTGCGATCGGGCTGGACACCAGGGTGGTCGGGTGGGGAGGAGGGCATCTAGAACATGTGAAATTAAATATTTTGCCTCTGAATGAGGGGGTGCTGAATTCAGTTTGAAGGATAAAAAGAACTTAACTGGATGAAATAGGAAAGCATTCAGTATCCCATAAGCCTCTTGGTTTGTATGGCTAATCAACAGTTTTCATGCATTTTGCTCTCTCAAAAGCATTTTGAAGACATGCAAACAGCAAAGCGTGCTGTCTGTGTACTGGGTTAATTCCAGAGGCCGAGGGGAAGATCGGATGAGTTTGTGCTGCTGAAAATAAACTAGCGTTTAGCTGTCTTGCACTAGCCATTTGGAAAGTTTGTAGATTCCCAGAGCATGTGAGGCATGCATATTCAAGATAACCTTAGAGAATCAGTTGTGGACCACATCACAGTCCCTCACGTGGGGATGAGGAGGGTGACCTGAGAAGCCGTGGTCGCCCTCTGACCAGCTGTGTGGCTGGCAGAGTTCCTGGAGCTGGCTGAGAAGAGAAGTGGGGCCTGTTCTGTGCAGGGTGTCATGGCTTAACTCTGAACCTGCAGCTTTTCCCTAGTCATCTGGAGAGGGGAACCCAAGCCAAAAGGGCCCCCAAACAGGATGCGGCGAACTTTCCCCCTTTTTTGATAAAAGTGTAAAGTACTTAGCCTGCTTCTCAAAAATAATCTTTTCTACCAGAACAGGAAAAAAGTTAGCGCTACATTAGATTTTGATCATTTTTCTTAAAAATGTTCTACTATAAGCGAAACAAGGAACATTGATATCGTACATTAAAGGGACAGGTGGTGTGGTGGTTAAGGTGCCGGATTCCCACGTGACCAGCTGCGGTTCAGGTCCCAGACCCAGTGTCTTAAAAAATCCCAGCAAATAAACAGATAAATTAATAACTTTTTAAAAATCAAAATACATTAATATAGCTGTTTTAATATAAAGATAAAAGGTATATTAATGAACAGTTGATAAACGCCGTGTGGGGGCTGGCTCCTTTAACTACTGAGCTATGAGGTCGGCCCCTTTGTATGTTTATTCAGTAGTAGGTGGAGGTCCTGCACGCTAGGCACTGACTGGAAGTTAAAAAGTCTGTTCTGTGCCTTTAGAGAGCACGCGATATGTATGCTAAAGGCTGGATGGGCTTCCTGCGCGTCTTGCGATCGGGCTGGACACCAGGGTGGTCGGGTGGGGAGGAGGGCATCTAGAACATGTGAAATTAAATATTTTGCCTCTGAATGAGGGGGTGCTGAATTCAGTTTGAAGGATAAAAAGAACTTAACTGGATGAAATAGGAAAGCATTCAGTATCCCATAAGCCTCTTGGTTTGTATGGCTAATCAACAGTTTTCATGCATTTTGCTCTCTCAAAAGCATTTTGAAGACATGCAAACAGCAAAGCGTGCTGTCTGTGTACTGGGTTAATTCCAGAGGCCGAGGGGAAGATCGGATGAGTTTGTGCTGCTGAAAATAAACTAGCGTTTAGCTGTCTTGCACTAGCCATTTGGAAAGTTTGTAGATTCCCAGAGCATGTGAGGCATGCATATTCAAGATAACCTTAGAGAATCAGTTGTGGACCACATCACAGTCCCTCACGTGGGGATGAGGAGGGTGACCTGAGAAGCCGTGGTCGCCCTCTGACCAGCTGTGTGGCTGGCAGAGTTCCTGGAGCTGGCTGAGAAGAGAAGTGGGGCCTGTTCTGTGCAGGGTGTCATGGCTTAACTCTGAACCTGCAGCTTTTCCCTAGTCATCTGGAGAGGGGAACCCAAGCCAAAAGGGCCCCCAAACAGGATGCGGCGAACTTTCCCCCTTTTTTGATAAAAGTGTAAAGTACTTAG